CCATAGAACAAACAACCTAACATATGAGCAAACATGAACTAAGACTGTTTTTTAACCGTGACTCTGTTTGGTCTAGTAAATAATTTACATTATCATTTGGTGAAAACTTATATTACCAATACGTGACATAAATCAGAATGATGTAACATATTCATAATTTCATACCATATAGGTTTCTTGTTAAAAATATATTTTTCTTCCCGAGTAACTTGTTTTAGTTTTTTTCTTTCATATCTCTTTTGTTTCTATAAATCTAGGATGGATGAATTTTAATTTTTATATGAAATTTTTTAGCCAGTACTCAACATTATGGGATCTTCCAGTCCAATTCGAATGGCAAAATCCTACATTTCTCTTTTATTGTTTGACCTCAAATGGAATATAGTTTCTTTTAGTATAATAAAAAAAATTAAAAGTATAAACTAATTTTCAAAGTAAGAATAGTACCCTGACATTATAAAAGAAACATACTTGGAAAAGCGGACAGCGAAAAAGGGAGACTTATAAAAAAAAGGACAAAGATAGATCACATAAATGCACCATGTAAATAGTTCTACAGAAATTGCATGATAAATCACATTTTATTTATTATCTTTCGTCAAACAAGTACAATTTTAATTCGTTAGCAAGAATAACATGTTGCTGACTTAAGTTACAAGAAAAAACATGTTGCTGACTTATTAACATAAAATAATTTAGTAGTACTTGTTGGCAAGCAATCAATAAATAATACTTGAATCTGAGTATCAGGACGTAACGACGTTGTCATTACAATTAAATGGCTCTACAAACTTGTAATAAACAGATACTCAGCAACAATCAAGTAATCATCCGTAGTATTCCTCATGATTACTATTTGGTGACATATATATGATCCATATACAGTTTTAGAGACTTTGCAATTAACCAAGATTAGCTATATTTAATTTGCCAATAAAATTTTGGAAAATATATGACACTAGCAAAGTTTTTGTGTATTGCTCAATGATAACTTCCATATGTCAAATTCGCTCTCCGGTATGAAAAATATAATACACGTATCTCATGTACCTAGCCTCCCCAAAGATGGCAAACCATCGGTCTTACCAGTTACCACAGTGTAAATCCACGGTGTGCGACTAATTTTACATTTTACTTTCATAATATAAAATACTTTTAAGTCTATGCATGTATATGAAATGCATTAATATATATCTATATAAACTATACGCAAGAAGACGTTTTTCTTTGTAACTAAATAACTAATTATTTTACATTTAATCCCTTACATCTGTATGCATTATTTAAATTTGTTAAGTTAATCATAGAATACTTTTGCTATTTTGATACTACAGGGATTAACAAATTACAACCATACAAATCAAATACATATATAACTGTACAGTACATCACACATTTTAGACAGGATTGGAATGAGAAGAGTAGAAGACTCATCTTGTTTGACAAAAATGGACAAACTTGACACATTTGTTGCAAAAAAAAAGGACAAACTTGACACATATCTTGGTACTGGTAAATGACCGTGAATATGAAAAGTAGATATGCAAGTTGCCCAACTTGAGCTCGTCTTATTATTAAAAAGTCTATTACACTTCTTTCTTCTATTCACTGATAGATTTCAACCTTACAAATGAATGGCCAAACTTTCGTTTCTTCTATATTTAGTGGAAAGGATTGCTATCCGATTACGACCTTTACGGAAAGCTTGAGTAAAAGCTAGGATCGAATATAGTTTTTGAAGTTCTTGGATCCCTAGAGGTCTCATCATCTCGCAAATACGGATTCATCTGTGTGGATTGCGATTGCTGCAGGATGATTTAAGCAGAAGACGACAAGTATTAATATATTTATATATATGTAACGTTATACGTATACGTGCATACCTATAAATCAGTTTTATATGAGTGAAGTGCGATATTTTTATGGACTGACTTATGGGGTGTGGTGTCTCGCAGTTACGACCACATAACACAAGTTTAATAAGTCTACAAAACTATTAAACAAAAAGGAATCAATAATAGCTTATAAGTTTCAAGTATGATATATCCGTTTTCACACTACAATTTATGCACAATTGGGTGTATGTATATACATACAAAATATGTATTTTTTTAAGTTTTAGAATGAGCATTGATTGTAATCAAGTAGGAATGTATAATCCAATCAATGTTTGACAAAAGATAAGGTTATATGCACATAGTTCACATAACCGTTGATGTGGAATTAATTAATAGGCTGTAGGCCATGTCCAAATGTTTAAATAAACATATATTTATTTGATGTTTTTTAATGCGAGATGACAGACTTGTTGAATGGACATAGGACTATGTCTACTACAGTGAGTCAATACTCAGCCCTGTCCGATGTTTGAATTGATTAATTTGATCAGACTCATGTTTTGCTTAGCCATGCAGTATAAACAGAAAGCGTTTGAAGAACCCAACGTGACTACGAGAGAACACTATGTTTCACCGTGAAGGATTTTGAAGTACGTACTGGTGGCTCACTAGCTTGGATCCGCCATTCAGCTGCAAAAAGATTTTGAATGCCTCGAGCACACATATTATCCTTAAAATCCAGAAGGGATGGTGCTGCGCACATCCCAGTGCCGTGGCTTCTTTTTGGTTGCTCACGGTAGTGTTGGCCACACTAATGCTTCTTTGCAGGTCTTCGAGCAGCTCTGGTTCACGTGTAGCGGCCTACTCGTTCCCGTCTTTTGCTCACCGCTCTTGTTTGGCGCTTTTGGAGATTGTACATAGGGATTTGGAGTAAATTTTCAATGGGTATGTGTTCTATCTCCCTTCTTCAATAGTGTCTGTGTTTTATGGAGGTGACGATTATAAGTTTCGAAGAGATCATCGAGATCTAGCTATTCCGGAGGCGACACGGGAACTCCCGGCATCCGAGGTAACGAGGAGAACCTCACTTTCTCGTGGTCATCGTCGAAGGTTGAGAACATAAATCGATTTCTAATGTTTACTAAAAACAGATTAGCGGAATGTGCCGGGTTTAGTGGGTGGGCGAAGCTAGTTCTTGTAATTCGTAGACTTGGAAGCTTTTGTTTGAATCGAGCTTGTAACCGGAACTATTCCCCGTTAAAACGGGAAGATTTATAATATATTCATTTAAAAAAAAAAAAGAATATACATATTATGCAGAATAAATGGAATTAGTTTGCTAATGCAGATCAAACCGTATGATATGTGAATGGAGAAAACATAATATGTTACATGAATGAGATCATCATTGTTGTAAATTTAAAAATAACCATAAACAAATTTCTTTTTTCATATATCTTTTTAATATTGTTAATTATAATATTACAAACTATAGAAATATTATACAGACAATTCTACAACAATCAATTATATCTATGAGGATTCACGTCATATTGCACCACCATAAACCACCGTCATATTTTTCAAACTTATAGTTATGTGATATAATTATAGTTACCAAAAATAAATGGGTGATATATGACTTTTGATTTGAAGCGTTCAAACAGAACGTTTTATACTTCTTTTTTTGTTTTGTTTAGTTGTGTTTATTCATTAAGATATCTTCCAAAAAGGGAAAACTCTCGCACATATGACGAGTAAGGGTCCGACTGGTTTCCCCGCTACCACCCGCAAACACAGCTTTTACGGTTGATGGCGGTTGCTAGCGTTTTGCAACAATCACAAAAACTGCTACAAATCGCTTCAAACCGCTCCCAACCTCTTAAAATCAAAAGCTGATTTCAGCTAGCGTTTGCGTTTGCGGGCGATTGCGGGTGGGTAAAAAACTTTTTTTTTTAATTTAAAATTAAAATATAAAAATAAAAATAATATAACTAAAACTATATCTACCTTTTATTTTTTAATTTAAATTCACTAAAAATATCATAATCTATTTATAAGAACTTTAAATCAAGAATTTTCACTATATTTTTCAATA